GTTCACAATCGACTTGAGAATGGTCCAGGACGGACCGAAACGTCGTCGTCCCTTCACCTTCTAATGTGTGGTCTGGTTAAATTAGTTCTGGAATTACTTTGTTCCCCAGTATTGAACTTCATCCAAGGAAGCTATGTCTTTCTGGAGATGAGATCTTCATGCCTGTATTCATTAATCCAAGTGGGGGCATAACTCCCTTCTTTTCCTTAAGTCAAAAGGTACACTTGATCATTGCAAGGGTTTTATTAGCTTTCCATACTGGCGTTCCCACTTGTACAACTTTCAGTAAATGATGGATTCTGACTCCGAGGTCAGTTTCTTCATCAATCTGCAATTTGGTAGTTTGACGTTGGTTGTTATGCCCCACATCTAATGTCTTGCCTTTTTCGAAATTAAAAAGCATTTGCCAGTCTTTCGACCATTTGTGAAGTATGGTCATTTTGCTGGAGCTACTTGTGGGGGCCCTGTGACTGGGTGTACCCTGCGTGATGGGGGCTCCAGTGCCTCCTGTGTTGCGGTCGTCGACGATTGGCTTAGAGTTTACCGGGATTGTAGACTTCCCGACGGTGGATGTGACATTGTTTGACATGTTAGGTATGGACGTGTCTGCTTTCCCTGGAGTGCATCTCTTTTTTAGTTATCGAGCGGTCGTCAAGTTTGGCTCCCTGCATGTCTACCCTGATTTTAGGAAGCGGCATGACGGACGGTCCTTCAAATTGCCTGGAACTGATGGTTCGGTGGTTGTTTCTGATCGCAGCGACACCACCACGTACAATGCCGTTCAGGGTGCGCCCTATGAGTTCCCCGAGGCGTTGTTGCGCTGAAACTTTGGGCAGTATGGACAGGTGTTGGCCAACCAGTTGAATGTCATGTCCGGTCGGCTGAAGGGTGTTCCGAACGCCAATTGGACCGTCTTTGTGCAATCGGATCCTTGGTTGAGTATGCGTCACCCCTCTGCCGTAAGTTTTCAGGCCGTCTGGGAGGAATGGCGACGGTATCGTCAGCGGTATCTTCGGGATCATTATCCGACTATGTATAATAGGGGATGATTTTGTGTCTGACTCCGAGTGATGTGTACATTTTCTCTGCGCGTGTGGGCGTAGTATCGACCAGAGTGCGTGCGGCCGGGCGCAGGTTATCGACCGGAGCGCTTGCGGGCGGGCGCAGGTTATCGACCGGAGCGCTTGCGGGCGGGCGCAAGTTATCGACCAGAGCGAGTTGTTGTTGTTGTTATAGATTCAGCTACTCGGAACAAGCTCCAAGTAGCACGGGCTATGGTGAGCCCCTAACTTGACTTACCTGGCACAGGAGCGGGGCAAGTAGCACGGGCTATGGTGAGCCCGTAGTGGACTTACCTGGCACAGGAGCGGGGCAAGTAGCACGGGCTATGGTGAGCCCGTAGTGGACTTACCTGGCACAGGAGCGGGCAAGTAGCACGGGCTATGGTGAGCCCGTAGTGGACTTACCTGGCACAGGAGCGGGGCAAGTAGCACGGGCTATGGTGAGCCCGTAGTGGACTTACCTGACACAGGAGCGGGGCAAGTAGCACGGGCTAAGGTGACCCCGTAGTGGACTTACCTGGCACAGGAGCGGGGCAAGTAGCACGGGCTATGGTGAGCCCGTAGTGGACTTACCTGGCACAGGAGCGGGGCAAGTAGCACGGGCTAAGGTGACCCCGTAGTGGACTTACCTGGCACAGGAGCGGGGCAAGTAGCACGGGCTAAGGTGACCCCGTAGTGGACTTACCTGGCACAGGAGCGGGGCGTGATGACACCGGAGGTAGTGCTAGGGGGTATATATATATATATAGGTCACGAGCAAGCGAATCACAAGCGCTTAGTCACTCCGGAGCTCTTGAAGCCGGTGGACGTGTGTGTGAGGAAGGTCCTGCTGGAGAAATCATTCGTTTGTTGTTGATGTTTATCCCGTGAAGCGAACGGAGTGACGTCTCTGGATTCTGCATTCACGTTAGTTAACTTTATCATTTTATTCACTCCTTTTACTAATATTATTATTTAACACATATATTTACTTTCTATTTGATTGTTGTACTGTCTATTTTTTTAGTTTTTCCCTTTCTTACCATGTTTACTTACGTCATCTATTATTTAGATCTTTATTTTTGTTTACACTCTCTCTCTCTCTACTCCGGTGAACGATCCTTTTTGATATCTCTATACCTACCATTTTGATACTTGTCCAATCTATTTTGATTTTGAGCTCACTTTGCAACTCACTAGTTTTTACTCGTTGCAAGAGGATGAATATTGCAAGGTTGCGAATCATCATGAACCAGACTAGGGTCGTCCTCTGCCATGTTGCATCCAAGATGGCCGCACACGGTTTTAGGTTGACAGGTCTTAAACCACCGCCAAACCAGGGTTGACAGGTCTTAAACCACCGCCAAACTAGGGTTGACAGGTCTTAAACCACCGTCAAACCAGGGTTGACGGTCTTAAACCACCGTCAAACCAGGGTTGACGGTCTTAAACCACCGTCAAACCAGGGTTGACAGGCCTTAAACCACCGTCAAACCAGGGTTGACAGGCCTTAAACCACCGTCAAACCAGGGTTGACAGGCCTTAAACCACCGCCAAACCAGGGTTGACAGGCCTTAAACCACCGCCAAACCAGGGTTGACAGGTCTTAAACCACCGCCAAACCAGGGTTGACAGGCCTTAAACCACCGCCAAACCAGGGTTGACAGGCCTTAAACCACCGCCAAACCAGGGTTGACAGGTCTTAAACCACCGCCAAACCAGGGTTGATGGCCTAAAACCACCGCCAAACCAAGGTTGACAGGCCTTAAACCACCGCCAAACCAGGGTTAACGGTCTTAAACCACCACCAAACCATTCTTCGAGGCAGCGTCGAAAGTCTATTCTTGCAAGCATATAGCAACCATCATAATGTAAATATTGTATTAGTTTATGCACCAGAATAGTCTCCCGCTTCTAACAGATTATGAATGTTTTAATTTGTTTAAGGATTCAAATTTTGAATTTAAAATTTTAACCGGAATTTAACGGACAGCGGTACTCACCACGTGCTTGTCTAGTAGCACTTAACTACTCTCAAAATCTTTTTCGGATGCCTACTCATTGAGCACCAGATAAAGACGACGCAACAAATGAAAATTACGTCTAGATGTGGCAAAGAAAGCTGTCCCAGAGGTCATATAGTCCCTATAACTTCTATATAAAGTAGCATCATCATCACGACTGGTCAATACTGCTCCAGTAACTTGACATTTATCTTATATATGGGAAAAAAATAACAGCAGCAGGAAACCAACAGGTATAGTACAGGTTTTGGTTCTCAGGGGATGCGCGCGCAATGTGACTGACAAGCACACGTGGCGGTTACCTCAAGGTGGTGGTTCCGTAGCCCGGTCTCTCCTAAAGATGGAGAGGTACAGGCGAAGGAAAAGCTGTAGAAATGGGGAATATAGTGAAAGATAGCAGGCGGACTGTCCGCCTTGCTGACACGATATGTTTGGTAGCTAAGCCATGACAAGTTGTGATTGGTGATCTGGTCAAACGGGGTGGGTGGGGAAGGGGGAGAGAAGGATAAGTAGGTGATGGGGGCGGGGATAAGTGAAGGGACACGTATGTGGGGGGAGGCGAAGTAGGGGGAGATGAGGTGCGATATGATAGGTGGGAGAGATGGCAGTAGGTGGCGACGGGAGGGAGGTGGGAGACAAGCCTCTCCCCGACTCCCGGTCGCGCCCACTACAGAGATATTAGCCAGTGGAAGCCAGCTATGTGGGTGTATGCGCATGTGGGTATCTGCGCATGCGTGCCGGGTATGGTGGGGGGAAGGGGGGTTAGGATAAACACAGGGTGTATAGCAAGATGTTAGAGATTGGGACAGATCTTGCGATCTAATCGTCTGAGTGGGAGCAAGAGCAGAACGAATGGCATTGTGCGGCACACACAGTTGTGTCAACACCAACCTGAACCCTCACCTTTGCCGACAAGCACCTCCCTATAGTGGCCACTTAGTTATAACCTCTTCAACCTAGCTATCTTACATCATATATACACACATCAACAGATACATCATCTCCAATTTATCATGGTTATTTACGACGGATCCATCTCCCACTAACAAGTAAAGGTTGATTCAATTGGGCAAGTGTAACAACAGCTCAGCCGAGATTACGTCCAGAGCGGTGTGGACAGGGCGATCGATTTATCGATCGCCGCCCCACAGCGAGCAGCTGCGATATGGGCGAAATGCTCTGGTTAAATGAAACCAAAGCGCGTTACTTTTAAAGCTGTATGACAGATGTACTGTAAATACAGAACGTAGTGGGACATACTGTATTAGTGCGATTCAGTAGGATCTTTTTATCTTATAAATTATATGCTTTAAGCCTGGTTAGGGTGTGTTGTGGGTAAAAAATATATTCTATTATACCATACTGTGGTCAACACAAATAACTTATTCCATGTTGCACTATTATATATGTTACACTGTTACAAAATGCTTCTGTATTCCACAATGATTTATATTATGGTATGCTGTGGCGCGACGATTTTGACAAAATTCATGCTGTAATAAAAACTGCGCAGTTGAGGCTACAGTGTTAACAGCTGGCGTACCGTGCTATATGTTATAGGAACAAGTCTATATTGTAACCTGAGGTTTTATTTAGCTTCAAGCTAAAAAAAAACACAGCGAACAGCTACGGATAAATCAATATCATCTTCCCCACGAGAGGATAAACTGCTGCAGCTGGATGTATAACCCTTCCCACAGTAACAAAATTATTATTTACCCAGGTTTCAACACTGCTCATTAATCAAATGAGTTTCCCTTCCACCACAGCGGGCGGGGTAGCCAATGGGAAGGCAGGATTTTTTGGGAGACCCGTAGCCAGCGCGCCGATTGGCTGGCGCGGGAGAGACTAGCTTGGTGCGGCGAGGGGAAAAAGAGGGCGTGCGGTCGCCGGTATATAAGGCTCACGTCCACCTAGGGCGCCTCAGTACCCGCTTGACATTCGTCGGGAGAGTGTCGGTGGTGCATTCGTTATCGACTACTCTAAATTTTTTTGTATGAATCGATTATGACGCTCTTGTATATGGTGGTTTAGCCATACTGAACTATCGTTGCAATCTTCCCTTCCCTAAGTGAATGAAAGGTAAGCTATCAGGCCATATAAATGAGTTAATGGCAAACTTGTTGCCAGATCAAGGAACAGCCTATCTCGTAGGCCTACCATTTGCAGTACTCAACAGCAACTTAAATCCAGTGGCGGCTAGTAGGACCAGGCAAGAAGAGTGATCAACAGGCCTATCCTACGGAAACTGGTGGTTAAGAAGTAAAGGGCCATCAAGGAGGCCTTTTTTTTCTAGACTGATGTTTGTAAACTGTTGAAATCTGAAACATTAAGCCTGAATGGTCCCCAGGACTATATGCAACTGAAAACTCACACCCCAGAAGTGACTCTAACCCATACTGCCAGGAGCACTCTGCTGGCGTACAGGATCCCTTAACCGCTCGACCAACACGACTTAACCTCTTCTTCTAACCTTTATGCGATGTGAAATGAGTTGCAATTTAAGTAGTTTCCTGTTTAAGACGTGTGCTTCATATAGCACTATACATGACGTTTTAGATTCAGCTTCTTGAGGTTATCTTGAGATGATTTCGGGGCTTTTAGTGTCCCCGCGGCCCGGTCCTCGACCAGGCCTCCACCCCCCAGGAAGCAGCCCGTGACAGCTGACTAACACCCAGGTACCTATTTTACTGCTAGGTAACAGGGGCATAGGGTGAAAAAAAACTCTGCCCATTGTTTCTCGCCGGCGCCTGGGATCGAACCCGGGACCACAGGATCACAAGTCCAGCGTGCTGTCCGCTCGGCCGACCGGCTCAGCTGCAGTACCCTGAACAAAAGTTCCAAGTAGCACGGGCTATGGTGAGCCCGTAGTGGACTTATGACATTTCACTTCCCTATTAGTGAATAGTTAAGTGATTTTCCTTCAAAATATCACAATTTACCCCTCCCCCTGATGTGGGTACAGTAGATATACAGATTCCTAAAAGCCAGGTAGTTGCAAGTTAGGCTTTTAGAGTTTTTAGGTGGTTTACACTACCAAAAGACTTGTGGTCTTGGGTTCGATCCCAGGCGCCGGCGAGAAACAATGGGCAGAGTTTCTTTCACCCTATGCCCCTGTTACCTAGCAGTAAAATAGGTACCTGGGTGTTAGTCAGCTGTCACGGGCTGCTTCCTGGGGGTGGAGGCCTGGTCGAGGACCGGGCCGCGGGGACACTAAAGCCCCGAAATCATCTCAAGAAGCTGAATCAAAAACGTCATGTATAGTGCTATATGAAGCACACGTCTTAAACAGGAAATTACTTAAATTGCAACTCATTTTACATCGCATAAAGGTTAGAAGAAGAGGTTAAGTCGTGTTGGTCGAGCGGTTAAGGGATCCTGTACGCCAGCAGAATGCTCCTGGCAGTATGGGTTCGAGTCACTTCTGGGGTGTGAGTTTTCAGTTGCATATAGTCCTGGGGACCATTCAGGCTTAATGTTTTAGATTTCAACAGTTTACAAACATGTCTAGAAAAAGGCCTCCTTGATGGCCCTTTCCTTCTCAACCACCAGTTTCCGTAGGATAGGCCTGCAAAAAAAAAAGGGGGGGGGGGCCGAGTGGGAGAACGAGGGGTAGGGGGAGGAGATTGTGGGAAGGATGAAAGAAGGGCACTCGTCTTAATGTATAATAGGGATATAGAGAGGAAAATAGGCGCCAATTAGGGTAGGTAGGTATCCCTTGCTCTTTACGGGTTATTCATGCCCGTGCCACCTCTTGGGTGGCTTAATCTTAATCAATCAATCAATCCTTACTCTCCTGGGGCGGAGAGCAAGGGAGGGTGACAAGAGGCGTCGAGGTTCAGGTACAAGTAGAGCAGGTATCCTCGGAAGGTTAGGTTCAAGCAAGTTTATTCAGATGAAATACATCCTAAAAAGATGGAGTAGCTAAGACTATTTCTGCCCTCATCTACTTGTCCCTCAAGGGGCTCACAATTCCATACAATAGACAAATGTGTCTTAATTCAATAATCATCCCATAGTACAAAATATATTGCAATTATCTTGCTCTTGGGGCAAAGTGATCGGCCTAAGAATACCTCTATCATTCCACGTCAACATCATCTTTAAGAGTATAATGTATATCCACTATACAGGCGATGAGTCACAATAACGTGGCTAAAGTATGTTGACCAGACCACACACACTAGAAGGTGAAGGGACGACGACGTTTCGGTCCGTCCTGGACCATTCTCAAGTCAATGTGTTCATCATAGTGTTCATCTTCACGACATTGTTCTGCACCTCACCACCACAAGAACACACTTTTTCAGCTTTATTTCCTACTGCCTCTAGGCTAGCCTTAATCGACGCCTTTCTCCCAAACGTTGGTCACAGGGGGCTACAGTTCTCGCCACTGTTTCTACCTTATTCCCAACGAACAATCGTCGCTCTTTGGAGATTCGTCCATCCTGCTTGTAGGAGCCTGCTGTTAACATTTCAGATAGGGCTTCATGGGAAAGAGGAACCAGCATTTTGGGTAACTTCGACAATTGCAACAAGATGGCAAGAGCTTTCCTTTCCCCCCCAATCTTCATTCTACACTCAGGAATCTTGCTTCTTACCGCAGTGCCGGCATCTCGAGTCAAATTGGCATTTCAGAGTCATATGCCCCCAACGAGAACACTTCATATATAATATGGGTTCAATATATTTAGTCACTCCTGTAGCGAAGTCCCCGCACAAAAAGTATCTGGAATGTCACTCTTCAACAAGGCAGCTACCTTACTTTTTCCACCACTTATAATAATCCTCTTTGGCCACTTCAGATGTGGCGATAAAAGGTACTTCGGGTCCAAATAATTTGGATACTTAAAAACAACCTTTGTGTGAATTATTCCTATTTCAGGAGTAACCAGCAACTTTCTTAAAGCCATCAGACGTTAAGTGTTCTAATGCCTTGTCCGTCCCAACCTACGTAAGGCCGGTGAACACCAAACAATGTTCGAATTCACCAAATTCCTTGGCCAATTGAACTGGTCACTTCAACTTCTGATGAAAGCGCAAACAAGCCAAAAGAAGAAATGGTCACTTCCTTCCTTTAAACTATCATCAGTCTTGCCGTGTGTGGTCCTGTAGCGTCTGTCTGGTGAGGTTTTCCTGTTGATATTAAAACAATAATTAAAGACCCTGGTCCTGTCTAGCGTCAGTCATTACTAATGGTTTGGTAGTTTGAGGCTACTCTCGCTTCTTACCCATCTGTTTATATTCTATTTTTTTTCCTTGGCCTGGAAAGGCCTAGAGTCGTCTGTCATCCTCACTCAAGACTGCGGACATAGCACCTGTTTGCCCAGCAGGTGATCACAAGTTCACAACCTTCCAGGGCGCTCAAAGACGCGCCCGTCCATGACCAGGGTTGGGATAGAACCGATGAAGTGAGGTTAAATTAGTATCAAGTGCTTAATTTCCAAGACTTCAGCCAAGACCAAGACTTGGCTGAACTTCCAAGCATACATGCATGTACACAATATATATGCATATACACTCATACACATGTGTATACATATGTACATAGGGAGAAAGAAGAGATACATGCGTACATATACACAGTTTCTCTAACTTTTATACCATGCAAGGTGATGGAGAAGATCGTGAGGAAAAGGCTCTTAGAGCATCTGGGAGGGAAATAGCTTTGTAACACCACCAGCATGGGTTCAGAGATGGTAAAGCGTGCCTCACAGGTTTAATAGAATTCTATAACCAAACAAAAATTAGGCAAGAAAGAAGGGCGGGCAACTTCCTTTTCTCAGAGTGTCAGAAAGCCTTTGACAGTACTGCATAAAAGGTTGTTGCAAATGTTGGAGCAACAGACAGGCGTAAAAGTTAAGGTGCTCCAGTGGATAAGGGAGTATCTGAGCAACAGGAAACAACGAGAACTGAGAGGGAGACATCACAGTGGCGAGATGTCACCAGCGGAGTCCCACAGGGCTCTGTACTTGGACCCATCATGTTTCTAATATATGTAAACGATCTTCTAGAGGGTATAGACTCATTCCTCTCAATGTTTGCTGATGATGCAAAAATTATGCGAAGAATGAAGACAGATGAAGGTAAACAGACTACAGGACGACCTGGACAAACTGGAGGAATGGTCTAGAAAATGGCTACTTAAGTTCAACTCAGGAAAGTGTAAAGTAATGAAATTAGGCGAAGGGAGCAGAAGGCTGAACACAAGGTACCATCTGGGAGGTGAAATCCTACAAGAGTCAAATAGAGAAAAATATCTGGGGGGTTGATATCACACCGAACCTGTCCCCAGAAGACCACATCAAAAGGATATCAGCGGCATATGCTAGATTGGCAACATCAGTACAACCTTTAGAAACTTGTGTAAGGAATCGTTCAGGACCCTGTATACCACTTATGTCCGACCAATCCTGGAATATGCAGCTTCAGCCTGGAGTCCATACCTAGTTAATAATTAAACAAGACGAAGAGAAGATTCAGCGGTATGCCACAAGACTCGTCCCAGAACTGAGAAGTATGAGCTACGAGGAAAGGCTAAAATAGCTGAAACTCGGTCCCTGAAAGATGAGAGTAAGGGGGAGACATGATAACCACCTACAAAATTCTCAGGGGAATTGACAAGGTGGACAAAGACGGGCGGGACACGAACAAGGGGACACAGATGGAAACTTGGTACCCAAATGAGGCACAGACATTAGAAAGAATTTTTTTAGTGTCAAAGTAGTTAAATGGAATGCATTAAGCAGCGATATGGTGGAGGCTGACTCCATACAGTTTCAAATATAGATATGATAGAGCTCAGTAAGCTCAGGAATCTTCACACCAGTTGATTGACATTTGAGAGACAGGACCAAAGAGCCAAAGCTCAACCCCCGCAAGCACAACTAGGAGTGCATACATACCAAGATATACATAAATAAATGCAGATATGTATCAAGATTATACATAGATATACATATACGAACGTGTATATCGCAATAAAATCACAATATAATGGCGTGATATATCAATGAAAATCTTTTTGGGGCAATGGAGCGACTAATTCGCGAACCGCTGATTCCCAGACGCCTGCCTTAACCGACTGCCACGATGGTACAAAAGTTGACCAACCCAGAAATCTACCAAGTCCTCTGGGAAGTTCCGGAGGCCCCAAACCGGAGCCCAACCAGTTTTTTCTAGCCAAGTCCCCCTTCCCCCGAAATAAAAAATGGGAAAGATTGAAGGCAAAACGTATCAGAATTGAAAGACGAGATATGCTCACTATTTACAAATCAATAACCGAAAATTTGTCTAAATCCGCAACATCTAGAGACCCAACCCGTTCTCGCACTTGCTTACGGTCAATATTGGCTTATTTAATACGTGCATATGTGACACTAATTGATTGTGAATATTTTAGTTTACCTTGAAAAGCTTCATAGAAAACACCAAGAAGGTTAGGTGAGGTTGGTGTTTTCTATGAAGCTTTTCAAGGTAAACTAAAATATTCACAATTAGTATGTCACACATGCACTTATTAAATAAGCCAATATTGACTATAAGCAAGTGCGAGAACGGGTTGCGAGACCACATATAAATTACGAAAACACCGTCTAGATGTCGCAAGAACTAGGAAAAAGTTCTTTGCCGTGGTTGACGTATTTAATAAATTGAGAGGAAAACGCAAGCAAACACTTTGAAAGCTTGGATACACTACCCAGTGGGAAACAATATCCACGAGTTACGTTAATTCAATGTTCAATTAACGTTGATTTATGGGAATTTAACGTTTGGAAAAAAAATATAATTTGTACCCACTGGGTCATATTCTAATAAAAATACGAAACACTAAAAGGTCTCTACCCATAACTAAACACGCACAGCTCAACAAATGTGGGTTTTTAATCTGGAGATTTTGTTTAACAGAAAACGAAGCTGAAATACTGAGGTTTGCTATTTGACTAGTACCAGAGTTGAAGTGTAAGAGACACGAGGAAAAAGATTAAAAACAAACTTGATGTAACGGTAATGTCATTGATGTTCGCAACACTAAGTTACATTCAGTACCTTTGGTTCTGGTTAGTAACCAGATTGGACGACGGGTGGACAGTTTCGCCATTGGGTATGTTGACATCGGGAAGCCTAGGCTAACACGCCGATGTCCTGGTGTATTATGTGTCATGAAAAGTACACGTAATACACCAGTATGTCAAGTGCATGTATTCGTACTCACGCATATACATGCAAATACGCTTAATACACCTACATGCTTAATACAATTATTGAAAGGCTACATGGCAGTTAACTATTGGCTTGTTAGTCAAGATTTCAGACAATTCAAACTCTGCAATTAGTGCACAAATAAGTCACATTAACGTGATGTATCAATAAAAGTTACGAAGAGAATTCGAACCTACTCCCAAGCACACGCCTTAAACAACTAAGCCACAAGTCCTTACACAGAAATTAAATGATTTAAAAATACTTCTAAAGCCATTACTTGCATTCAAGGGTTTAAGAAGGCGATCAACTGCCCTTCCTCCCCTTGCGCTGCTCATCCGTCAACTGCCTTGCTTGTAATGCTCGTCATTGCTAGCGACACACTGGCCGAGTTGCTCTGGGTCACCTCTAGTCTTCTACTCGGAACGTCATGTAATCTGACAAAATTACAGGAAACTAGTATATGATCCTATTAAATACTACTGAATTTTTGCAATATATTTCCTAAAAGTTACACAAGTATTCTTGATGTATATCATCCAAATGTTATGTTACTGTACATTGTACAGAGGTGGTGAAGATTCATTACTGTTCGGGCCTGGCAACGAATCTGAAATGAAGCAGTATTACTGGTAGGTCAAATTCAGTACATAATTTTGAATAAAAAATGTTCTTAGATGTCCTAATCTATGCTCATGTCGTATTAGTGTGTATTGGCTTCACGTAAAGAGCACAGTTATGTGTCCACAAGTCCTCGTGTTGATAGTTCGAAATCCACAGCCCTCCAGGCATATTGATCCAAGTTACGGCTTACCTCCAAAGTTGTATTCATCCATTTTTAACATTCTGTATATTCAAGATTTGTGGTTGACCAAGGGTTATGTGTTCTGCTGGTAATTATTGGTATTTGCAGTACGTGGGTGAAGCGTTAATGAGATGTGATTCGAACATAGAGGTGTGTGAGCGAAGCACTGCTCGAGAGAAGTTCGAATGTAATCAGTTGTGAATCGTGTGTAAAATGTTTTCCATTCCTAAATACAGGGTTGGGTGCCTGGATTAACGAGCATTTGCCATTTATTTAATCTGTGTATGAAAAAATGCAAATTTTGAATTCACAGCTCATTAACAAATTTGAATGAGCTTTTGGCGTCAGCATCTGCATGGACAGGGGTAGCCTGAGCTCGAGTTGAAGAGTTTGAAGCCAAGGTTTTGACTTCAGTTTCGTTGCTTCACATAAGACACAAGAACTGAACAGTGATGGTCCTGTAATACGCACAATATTAACAAATTCGCATGGATATATATATATATTTAACCCGAATAATCAATTAAAATTGATCTTTGTAAATTCTTGTCATCAAAAGAACGTACATATTTTCCGTAACTGTCCAGTTACAGAACGTTCTCCTAATTAACGATAACCACAGACCTGTCAGTCTGGCTCTTGCAACCATGTGCGAAGCACGATCCGGATTTTTGTTCTGTTACACACGACTTTGAGTTCAGGTATTAGTTTGCTATTTTAAGACAAATATCAATAATATTTAACAATGTCGTAACTGATCTTCAATAACTAAAAAATATATATGTATCGGACTGTATGGTCTTTTGGGTTTTACAGCTAGCAAGCATTTAGGTCATTTGACCAAAGGGCCCCTGTTTGTACGCGGTTATTACTGAAGCATGTAATTTGTTGTAAACATGGTGTGCCGGGGAGGCGGGGGAATGGGGGATGATGATTGATGATTGTAACAATGGTAAGGGATGAGGAGCGTCCGGGCGGGGGGGGGAGATTGAGGAGTATCAGGGGGGGAGGGGAGATTGGGGAGTATCAGGGGGAAAAGGAGTGAGAGAAAACTATATCTTATGATTCGTGAACATAAGAGGAAACTGCCGGAGGCCCATTGGTCAATACATGCGACTTCCAGGGAGCAAAAATACGAAAGATATATTAATGAGAACTGAATGATCTTGCTCAAATCTTTTTTTTGAATTGATCAGGTAAAAATGGATACAAATTTCACAAACCCTAAATGTTCACATGCAGACGGTGAGTCACAGTAACGTGGTTTACGATATGAAGACTTAAACCACAATTTCTGGTGTGTGGTTTAGGCTTTATAATGCTCACTCTGTATAGTTTTGTGATTTCTATTAAAGCAGATTCATTGTTTCAGATAAAAACGCTTTTACAGTTTGTTGAAGACCTCTTCCAATTAATTTGGTGAAGAATTTTCTGACAAAGGAACAAATAGTTAAATAATTGGCCATATGTGTTTACATAATGTGCTGTGGAATTCCAAATTTCAAATCTTTTGGTGTTTTGACGTGTATAGAAATGATTAAGTCTTTACAAGGTAAAGACAAACCTTTTAACCCTGTCGTAGCTTAGTCGATTAAGGCAGTGTTTGGGATGCTCCTGGACGCAGGTTCGAATCTTCGTCACGGACCTTGTGGATTTGTATCTTTACACGGTATTTTGCAAATGTCACATCACTACGGGGGCTGCTCCTAACTAATAATTTTCAGTTTTCATAATAAAAAAATTGTATATTAAAGCTTATATATGTGTGTGGATGATGAGCGTCTAGGGAGGGGGGTGATGGTTTTTATATACCACTTCTTGTAGATGTCAGGATTTTCAGGATAGTCTTAAATCCTGCTTTCCCACTTTCATATAGAATTCTGTATGAAATTCTATAAAATTCTAATTTCATACAGAATTCTATATGATAATTTTTTAAACTTGGGAAACTATACAAATTATAGTGAAGCTTCATTAATAAGTTAAGTACGAGGCACAAATCCTTTGCGCAGGTTAAGGGTTAACATCTAAAAAAAAAAATGGTATTCGGTTGGAAAAAGTTCAATGAGAGAGTGGTGGAGGCCAGAACCGTCAGTATAGGTTCTAAGCATTATATGACCGTGCTGGTAAGACGTGACCCCATGAGGCTACCTCTCATCCTGTAACTACACTTTAATTACACATAGGTAATTACATAAATCAAAGTGGAGCAGCACAATTCTAACAGTGCACTCTTCAGTTCTAAATATTGTTTGATAAACAAAATCATTTGCATGTTTGACATAATTAGATTTGACAATAATTTAACTTTCGATGAAGTATGGATAACACTAACATGCATTAGTATATATTAAGTAGCGTTCTAATCATTGCACGAATATTCTTATGTACATTTTTTTTAATATTTGATCTAATAAGTTTCTTTTTTCATTTCCAGATTACAGCAAAGTTTCCCACGATGGCAAGTCAGGTTATATACCAAAGCCCACCTTTAGACAATACAGGATCTTGGGCTTGGACGCTCAGTGCAAATCTACAGAACTTTAATCGGTTATCTCGAGAAAATTTGCAAAGGGAGCTTGATATACACCAAAGTGTTCAGAAACAAATAGGTAAACCCTTTCAATCTGTGAATCTACAACAATTTTGTTCAACTGAACCGCAAAATCAAGTGCTAGAAAATACCTCGTATTTACATAAAAACTCAACTAGTCATGTGGGGAGTGTCAGAAATACCAGCACTGTTTCTAAAAGCAGTGAGATGCCAGAGTATTTCTTAGGTCATGAATTGCAGACACCTGTTGAGAAACTTAACTTTGACACTTGTAAGTTGGCCCAGGAAAACTTTGAAAATGAAAGAAGGCAGATTTTACTTAAAGAATTTTCCAACCCAGAAATACAATCTTTGCAATCAAAAATCCAATCAGTTAATTCTAAAATAAAGCGTTTGCGTTCAAAGGAAAAAGTGTCAACCAAGCCACTCCTTACAAAAGCTATATACACTGAAAATAAACCAACGGATTCAAAAGCTATATACACTGAAAACAAACCAACGGATTCAAAAGCTAAGAAAACCGCAGAGGAGCCAAACTCATGGATCCAAACATTCAATAAGGATGTTATGTGCTTTCTTTGCCAAAAAACAGTCAAAGCCGATCATCTTGGCGAACATTTATTTTTCGGTGCTGTCAGATGTACACATTGTAATCGTGAAGTTTTGAATTGTCAAAGTTTTCAGTTACTGATTGTTAATTCAATTATGGGAATTGAATCGTGTACGCATTCATTACGGTACTGTTATGACCCATTTGATTACATAAGATCAAGGCTTTCAGATAAGGCCACTAGCAATTCGAGCAGTTCATTTGTTCCTATGTACTTGCTCAAAAGACTTTCATTGTATGTAGGTAGTATGGATAGCTTAAAAAATAAGGAGCCATGGGGGCCAGCACTTATACAATGCAAGAAACACTTGTCATCCGAAATTAAATCAAAAGGACATACAAAGTCAGTGACGAATGAAAATACTAATGCTGGAAAATCCAAAACAAAATTAGCTGCTAAAACTTCTAAACAAACATCTTCGAAAGACAACCAAAGCATTGGCGGTGGAAGTCTTCCACCAGAAGCAAAAAACGTAGCCAGACAAGTAACTTGCTCAACATTAATCAATCAAAATGGGTTTGGAAGCAGAGCTTCTGAAGATGCAGTGGTCGATCTTCTCTTATCGCAGAACTATGATCTTGAGCAACTTGAGCAAGCAGTAGAGTACGTTGAGGTGACGGGTCATAGTAAATTACAGAATTCAAGTTTGTCCCGTAAGCCTGAAAAGAAGCCTAGGCCTTATAAGAAACGAAAACAAATAGATAAATCTCTATTAAGCCCTTTGGTAATAGGTAAAGATCAGCCTGAGGACGAGGAAATGTGTACCGAATTCATAGAAACTCCAGCTAATGGCTACTATTACGTTGTTCGCAAGGCTATTGAAGAATGCCCGATGTGTTACACAGTTCTCTGTCCCTCCGAATTCACAGTGAATGTTGAAACATTTCTCATGACCACGATTTGCAGTGGCTGTGACTTAACGATATACATAGTCCTTGATTCCCCTGACGGATCCGTGACAGGGGTGTCAATCGTAACAGAAGAGGAACCTGAAAACGAGCCAAAATCTGTTGAAGTTACCGAAAAGAAAAAACGAAAATATACAAAACCTAAGAAACCGGTGAAAACCTCACGAGCTTCAGACTTCTTTGCAAAATAAAAATATTACATTGTGAAAAATAAATGTAACAATTATTGTATACATGTTTGATCCAATACAATCCACAGAATATTCATAAGTTATGAATCTACTTGGCAATCATGTACAGTATTGCTATGAGGTGCTAAATAAAGGCAAATGTTATAGAATTTTTGTACTCAAAAATAAAATTTTCCAATACATATTTTTGTTAGTAATAACCTGATGTTGTTTTGCCATCCTTGTTAAAAGGAATTGTTTTCTTACATATGAGGCTTCAGCACACCAATTTGGATGCTACACGAGGAAACAGAAGAGTGTTTGAATATGTATAAAGATGTGAACTCCAAATTATATAATACATTTAAGTTAAATTTACATTTCTTGCCAAATCTATTGATATTGCCATAATAAAAGTTTATGCTCTGACTTTTGCATTACAGCGGCCCGATTCGGTAGTCCAATAACGAGTCAATAAAAGAAAAGTTCGCCCCAGTAGAGCATTTTGACTCTGAATAGTCTTTTTGAGTAGCGTGCTTTCCTCTTACTAACATCCACAGCATTGAGGTATGTTCGCGTGTTATAAATCACCAACATGTGGGTGTTCCAATCCGTCTTCAGACAAAGTCCATTACATCCAGCAGTCGACCCTACAGACTAATGCGAGTCGCGACGATCTAAATAGGATCCCTTATCTGAGGATTTAGGCCCCAGGCCTAAATCCTAACATAATAGCTTCTTCAACTTTTCCAAGCTAAAGTTTATAACATATTCAGCCTTGCGGTACAGTATCCAACTTTACAAACCACTGCTGGCCCACGGGCACAAATTATGTCATCTGGGTCATATGAATTGGAAAAAATTTACATAGGATCGTTTGAGTTTATCCACTGTTGCTGCTAGAATATCATGCAATGCATCCATGGCAGTAAATAAAACGCAGGAAACGTCACGTTCGTTACAAACACAATGCAAGTCACATTAACGTAACTGTTGTTTACTTTCGTTACACTACAGCAGGGGTCGGAGAACATTCTTGGGTATTACCCCAAATAGATGTGTCAAGATTGAATACACTATTCAAAAATAAAATGCAGAATAAATAACTCATTTCTGAGCACTTGGTAGTCTTTTATTAACATACAGCAACGCCCTCTTTCATCAATTAACAAATATCGTCAGCTAGCGAGATGTGTGAGCACTGAAATATCGATAAAAATTGAAAAATGTAAAATAAATGTTAAACAAAATATTACCAGATATACTGTAGGCATTACTAATTGGTCACTTGCAGAAATCGGTTTGTCTTTTAGGGATAACTCACAATAGATTGGGTATTTAAAACCCGAGACACTTATACAGTTGTATCCGCTGTATTCCATGATTAGGCCCACCTTTAACGTTCCCATAGTAAAGGTGTTTTTGTTTTCTGGAGAGAGTATATATGACGCATGTATACAACCCCATATCATCACCTACGTTGATTCTTGCCTCAGCTGCATGTTCTTCAAATCAACAAATAAAGGTCTCCTGCTGCAGCCAAACAGGACACCATTCCTGTCCCCTGGCTCCTACTTGAGCGACGGCTGCACCACACATGCTGGGGTCCCGGCTCCACATGGATATTTTCCATTGGTTGATTGTTGCCGCCGGAGGAGGCTAGTTTCTTGATGACCCAATACTCATCCTGTGAGCGGTAGCGCAAAAAGGATTACAGAGGGTACAAAATATCTTAATCAGACCTTGGCGAAGAGATGAAATTGTTTATGTAAAAAATCTCCGTTGTGGTTTGATATCTTTTGTGCCCGTTGTAATCCTTTTTTTTTGAGCCCACTGTAATCCTTTTTTTGCGCTACCGCTCACAAGATGAGTATGCGGTGGACAATAAACTGCCGCTTCAATCACACCTATCAAGCTCAATGTATGTACATTGAGAAGTGAGTTACGCTTGTGTGTGTATATGTATGAATCATCGTGAATTGATTAATACTGTAACTATTGATGTGGTTCACCAATCACAGTTGTACTATACGGTACACTAGTTCAAAGACTCATACTGCATATTACATAATAAACAAAAATAATGATATTTATAAATGTAGACTAATCAACAGTAGTAGTGGTTGAAAAATTAGAGTCCATTTTAATTAAATTTAGTTTTGTATAAATTACCAATTTATTTATAAAAAATTATCATAAATGTGTTAAAAAATGAGTGGAACTGAGACTGTTAATAAAGCAACTTAACAACCCAAAAACAAATGAAGATAGTAACCCATGAATGCCAAGCTGGCATTGATCATATAAGATGTGGAACTAAAGCCGTGCCACCTTTTGGGTGGCTTAATCTTCATCAATCAATCAATACAGCATGTGGCAGATTCAATGACTCGTCAGTGGAGGTGGTTGCAACATCAAGAAGCGTCTTCATGAAGAATGGGATGTATTCCCTTCAACAGTATCTGTTTAGCGGCTGGCGGGTAGGGAAGGGCAGCTGGTAGAAGAGGAGCAGGCAGCTGGCGGTCGATGGTGAAGGTTCCCGGGGCAGTGGCTGCGCAGTGCTGGAACCTGTCTGGATAGTGTATACGGCTTCACGTTCGTAATGATTGTTGCATTTAGACGAAGGCGCCTTCTTTTGATGCTTACTTAGACGAAGGCGGGCTCGGACGGCATCCTTTGTCACTGCGGTTGGAGGCAGTGGCATGTGAGTCTATATAGCTGATTTTAGTAGCCTAGTCAAGAGGACTAGGCTACTACAGGTTCTAGTTTCTTCACTAGTGCTCTTTATTTTTAATTTTTTGTTATTAACACATTTAGGTAAATCTGCATTTGTACAGCTACCCCTAGACTATATGAAGGGGGAGTACAGCGTGTCAAAAAACTAGCTACATGATGTTAAAAATCCCCATCACACAGGATCGTTAGTCATACAAAGGCATGTGATAAGTAGTCTACACTGGCAGACTCTGAGTGCATCATGATGATATCATGAATACAAGAGTGAATAAGGTAGCAGTGATACTGAAATTCCCCATCTCTCAGGAAGGTTAGTCATACAGGGCCGTACGTTCAATAGCCTGCACTGGAAATTTTGGGTGCAATATGAAGATATCCTCAAGAACACAAGCGTGAATAAAGTAATTGCAAAGCTCCAGTTACCTCATGCCAATGGGTCTGAATGGTCTAATAACTGGACATTCGGTGACGTAGTTTGGGAGATCATGCCGCAGTTCCTGTTCACAGAGTTTGCACCTGGAGTGCTCAGGATTGGGAGAGCCGTCACCTGTAGTGGTGCTTTAAGGTCGTTGGGAGTCAGTAATTTCCTATCAGACTTGAGTGTTTGGTAAAATATAGTTTTGACAGCAGAGATGGGGATACCTAGGTCTAATTTAACTTCATCTTTGTTACACGCTAATTTAGCTGCAATGTCTGTGTCATTATGATGGGTTATATTTATGTGTGATGGTATCCATACAAATGAGATTGGAAACCCTTTACTCTGTGCAGCAATTAGGTCATTTATAATTGCTAGTATGAGGTTCCAGCTGTCGATCTTCGGAGAGAAATTTCCAATTGTTTGAAGCGCAGACTTTGAATCACAAAATAAATTTTTTTAATGTACTGGTAGCTAGTTGTAGTGCCGCTAGTTCTGTTTGTGTGGAGGTCAGCCAGTTGTTTAACCTGACACTGATAGTCTATGTGCAAATATTTCTATAAAACCTACATGTTGCTGCAGTCCGTTCAGTAGAGGATTAGACTGAGCCGTCGGTGTAAGTTTTCCAGATGCAGCGTACATGTGAGGCTTCCGGCCATATCTAGTGTCGTCGTCCCACAACTGATTACACCAGAGGTTGATTCCAGGACAGAGCGAGACGTTTGGTCATGTTTCCTTACACCTAGCAGTAAATGGCCACCTAAGAGTTATCAACTGTTGGGGTTGATTAGTGAAGGCCAATCATTGACCTACAGAGGACGTCGATCAAGTCTAACATACTTAATTTCCCTGATAATGCGACGGAATAATGAACACATATATGTTTAAGAAGAATTATTATATTATAACGACAGGTTATAATCTTAAGAACGCTTAGTATAGAAGGTAGAATACCTCATTAACCAAAAGATAGAAAATTTGGGATCTCATAGCCGGGTACAGGAGGAATGTTAGGCTTCCACAGGATGCAACCCAATAACAGTTGAGTAACTCCTGGGTACCTATTTACTGCTAGGTGAACAGAGGCGGAATCTGGTGACAGGAAATGCTACCCATTATTCTCGAGCATAAATTTTCATGTCAAAGCCTTTATCAATATGGAGAAGCGAGACAAGATTGGTGGTTGCGCCTGAAAGCGTCTAGATTTTGATGTTATCCAAAATGCTTCTTTGAATGTGTAAACTTCAAAAGAAGATCCCGTCCTCCTTCGGGTTTTCTAGGAGATCGGCACAACTTCGACAAGCGCCAAAAGTTTGGAGAAACAGCCAATCATTCAATGTTCATTGAATGTTTCTAGTACCGTAGGTTTGAATTAGAACCACGATATGAAACTGAGGAATTTTGTCTTTGCAGTAGTTGGTTTGGTGTTTGGCTTAAGGCTCCTGCACTCCCACACATTTCTTAGGGAATGGTGGTAACATGTGTCGTGCTTCGAACGTAGTCAGTGACTTAAGCAACCTCCCAGTGTCTATACCGTGAAAGACTTTCGTCCTGATCAACATTAGATTGGTTTACTGTTTGATTTAATACCTATCAAGCGCTGGAAGGTTATTAAGGCTACCACAAATCCGCTTTGTCTACTGTGTCAATTTCCCTTAGAATCTTGTATGTTGTTATTATGTCCCCTTATTTCTCCTCTCCTCCAGTGTGGTAAGGTCCAGTTCTCTCAGTTTTTCCTCATAGCTCAATCCCCTCAGCTTCGGAACGAGTCTCGTTGCACATCTTTGGACCGCTTCTAGTTTCTCCCTGTTCTTTCTCAAGTAAAAGTTCCATGCTGAGGACGCACATTCAAGAGCGCGTCTCACCTTCGCTGTATATGGGGCCCGAAAAGCCCCTTTGTCCAAGTGTGTTCATACAGTCTTCACACGTTAGACTCCAGTCTTCAGTCTTCACACATTAGACTCCAGTCTTCGCTCCTGGTATTGTACTGAATTTAACTCGAGGTAGCGCACATGTGCTGTTCCACACGCGAATAATTGTCGGAAGACC